ACCTCCATTGCACGACTACAACTGGTCCAGAATGCAGCAGCCCGATTTTTAACCAGTACAGGCAAAAGAGAACACATTACACCAGTTTTGGCCTCACTGCACTGGTTACCGGTTCACCTTCGAATCCAGTTCAAAATACTCCTGTATGTCTACAAATCGCTGAACAGTGTCCCCCCCATCTCTCTTCTCTGCTACAGCCGTATTTCCCACCACGCTCCCTGAGGTCAGCGGACCAGTTGCTCCTCACAGTTTCAGGAACTCATCTTAAGCGCAGAGGTGACAGGGCCTTCTCTGTAGCAGGACCAAGACTTTGGAACGAGTTACCTCTGCTTGTCAGACAGGCCCCCTCCCTCTCGGTTTTCAAGTCCTGTTTAAAAACTCACTACTATTCAGTAGCTTTCAACACCAGATGATCTGTGTTTTGAACCTGTATGCTCCACACTGGTTTGTCGTCATTATCTGCATCGTTTTTATGTCTATATTCTGATTTACTTCATTTTGTATATTTGTTTGTGTGTTGTCTGTTGTTCTGTCTGTACAGCACTTTGGTTGGCCTTGTTGCTGTTTTAGGTGCTCTATAAATAAAATGGTATGGTAATTATGTTTTGTGTTTTATATTTTTATTCCATATGCTGTAATTACATCTTGTTACTTTCTGTTTGATGCTGTGATCTTTTTTTCTTGTTGTTAAGCACTTTGGTCACAGTTTCTGTTTTAAATGTGCTATATAAATAAATCTGACTTCAGGGTACGGATCCTCGCGATAAACGAGGGACTACTGTAATTCAATTAGTCAAAAGAAAAGCACACAGTTGCATGTGGATTTTATTCATCCATCCATCCATTATCTTTACCCGCTTGTTCCATTTTGGGTCACGGGGGTCGCCGGTGCCCATGTCCAGCAATCACTGTGCGAGGGGCGGGGTACACCCTGGACGGGTCGCAAGTCCATCACAGGGACACATAGAGACAAACGAGACAAACAACCATTCACTCTCTCACTCACACCTAGGGACAATTTAGAGTTACCAATCAGCCTAACATGCATGTTTTTGGTCTGTGGGAGGAAACCGGAGCACCCGGAGAAAACCCACGCATGCACGGAGAGAACACGCAAACTCCACCCAGAAAGGCCCCTGGACCGGGGTTTGAACCAAGGACCTGCTCGCTGAGAGGCAGCAGCTCTACCAGTTGCGCCACTGTGCTGCTATAAATAGATTATTTATTATAATTTTATTGTATATAAAATGTATAATATTTATTATCCTTATATTTAATATTATTTTATTATAAAATTTACTGTTTTTAGGTTATAAGTTGTAAAGATCCTTATGGGCGTGGATTTAATATTATACACATTTTTGATCATGAAAAACCTAAACAACACATTTTTTAAACAACTAAAGATAAATGACCTTAATAATAGAACTGTTGCTTTTATGTAAATGTAAAAAAACAAAAGTGCAGCAGTGCAGTGTGTAATAGAGGAATCAAAGTGTTCTCAGACTTTTTATATATAAGTATTTAAATTTCACGTGATTGACCAAAGAAAGGTACAGGTTATTGAACAACATATTGTATTTCATGACAATGTCATGAATCTTGAAAATGTCTGCATTACTTTGTAGGTTCTTGTGGGTTTGTTAATTCAAGCTTTAGCTTTTTATCGTTTCAGAATGACCCACCTTTAAGACTTGTGACACTAGTGCTAAAATTAAATACATGTAGCTTTGTATAAACTGGTCCAGCTGAAATGATTTAACCTTTTTTTTTTTGTAGCTTTGTACAGATACATTTTGTCTTCATCATCCAAGTAAATGACGTAAACTTCTTTTAAAGGACATGAAAAAATGTGAACATTCATCTAATTATTCTGTCATTATCATCACTTCCTGTCTACTCAGATGCAGCAGATGGTAAACTCGGATTCTCGGTTTACCTGCAGCCAACAACCAATCAAAGCAGCACTTGGACCAAGGAGCCAGTCGGGTCTAAACCATCAAAACCAGTTGTCTACCATCAACCAATCCCAGCTGGGGCTGAACGGGAACCCTGTTAACCACAACTCCCCCTCTCCTCCTGGAAGTAAATCCACCACACCGTCTCCAGCCAGTTCAGCGCATGAGGATGACAATGATGACGGACTCAGGGTAAACAAAAACACAGATGTATAGAGTACACACAAATACGCAGAAACACAGGACCTTCTGACTGTATGAGTCATTGTGTTACATTTCACTGAGCTGTAACAGTGAGATATGAAACTACCATTAAGGGATTATAACATTGTGTCATTATAGACCCTTCAACTGGGTATAAATGAGCCGCCTTCCAGAGAGCTGTCCCACATCAAAACAAACTGCACTAACCTGTCTCTTCTGTTTCTGGGGAAATGAAACTATTAAAATTGAACGTTTTCTTAGCAGTTGTACAGGTTTACTGGCTTCAAGACAGAAAGCATAACACAAAACAGCTATATTGTCCCTTCACATTAAAATCCTGAACATCAAAACTGAGTCTGTTTTTGTAGATATACATATGTGCACCCACACTGGCCTGCAGACCAGAGTAAACATGAGCAAATGATGTGTGTGTGTTTTAGGTACATATTATATGTAACATTAGATTTAAAAAAAACTCAGGAGAGACACAGATGTGGTATTTGAGGATGTCCTAATGACAGAAGAACAAAAATTAAATATAACTAAACAAAATGTAAATTGGATACAATTTACAATGTGGATACTTTAAAGAAAAACAGCTTTTCACCCATCATATTTATTTGAGTAAATTTTACCCACAGCCAAATGACCATAGAAAACTAAACTGGCTCAAACTGAGACAAATGTTTAGATAATGAGCTAAAAGTTGATGTAGTAGTAGCTGAATGTCATTCACATCACATATGTAGCATTAGCTATTGGAGTCAACCCTTTTTGCCTGTTAGCAAAATATTTTATAAACAACTAGATTGTTGCAACACATTTCTCAGAAATTAATTATTAGCTCTACAACTGATTAACTTTTAAAGTAAACTTCATTTCAGGGTGCTTGCTAAACCATCTACACAGCCTGCACAGAAATGGTTTCCAGTCAGTGAATTTTTCATATATTAAGCTAAAATTGTGTGCGCTAGTAGCTGACAGTCATTCAACACATACTCCAAGCACTAACATATCACGTGAGATATCAAAATATTGTGTGAGTTGCTCGTACTGTTATTTTTGAGGTTTGCCCAACACTGTTACAACTCATTTCTCATCATATGATGATCTCAGTCTGAAACACTGACATGAAAGGCGGCGGGTGATATGAATTCCTTGAAGGAATGCTTGGCCTTTAATTGAAGTTAGTGTTGTGTGTTTAAATAGACCTGTCACAATAACAAATTTTGCTGGGCGATTAATTGTCTCAGAAAATATTGCGATAAACGATAGTATTGTTTGAAAATTGACAATAGTTAGTAATTATTGTCAAATTTAAGAAGACATGTTGGTTAATTTTATTTTGAATGTAGTATCTTTTTTGACCACTGGATGGCAGTATAAGACTATTTGAACCGAAGCAAGCATTGTATTTCTTTAAGAAAAATGGGAGGGAGGCCCCTTGACGTGACATGGGCTGTCTCTTCTCCCTTTTTTTTTTTTGGTTCTCAAAATGGCGGATTTTTTGGTTCTCAAAATGGCGGATGTTCGGTGTGGTTTGAGCTCTTTAGCATAGCATTTTTCATACAAAGCTTTTAATTAGGGATGGGGCCGATCCGATCCAGTATCGGTATCGGCCTCCGATACCAACATAATTTATGTATCAGATTTTTCCGATCCACCTGCCGATATTTCCGATCCATGATGCAAGTTGGCTTCAAACTATGGAATGGATTTCCTGAACGGCGGCGTGTCTCATGAACCCAGAGTAATAAGACCCGCCTCACATTCAGGAAATTCAGTTCATAGTTTGCAGCCAGCTACAACGTGAGGACTGAGTTAGCAGCACTGTGGCTAACGGCTAACCAACTTTTCATCTAAACATGTCGCTGTGTGGAAGTATTTTACACTAAACGCCACAAAACAAGACAGCAATGTGCAATGTCTGCAGAGCCATAGCGCCACATTAAACCACATTAAAGTTAGTTTTACGATGGACATTCGAGCTCCGTGGCTTCAGCGGGGCGCTGCTCTTTGCTCAAAGCGAAAGAGGCGACTCGACCCCGGCCAGCAGCGTCCAATCTGCCCCGCTCAGTCTGCCCGTCTCTGAGGAGGGACAGACTGAGCGCGGCTGCCCCAAATCAGACTGCCTGCTTCGGATTGAACAAGAAGACGTCGCTGAAACCACAGAGCTCAAATGTTTACAGAGAAGTTGATAAACTTCATAATTAATGACCAAACACTATCAGTTGTAGAAAATGAAGGATTTCACATTTTCATACTTCCAGTCAAGATATAGTTTAACCCTCCAGGAGATATTTATCAGTACAACAGTAGACAATCATAAAAAACATATGATTTGAAAATTATATTAAAAACAAAAACAGCTACATAATAATTTTTATATCTGCCCCTTATTTAAAAAAATATAAAATAACTTTAAACAATCACTTAAATTAATCACTTTAATATCCACTTTAAAACTAGGAATAAAAAGAAACATGTTTTGTGTTAGCAGAATTTAATTCTAACTTTAAAACTTATCCAACATTAATACAACTTAAGTTGCCTTTTTGGACATGCATGCATATATTTGTACAAATTGTACTTGAGAGGAGATTATTACAGCCTCATATAAAACCAATGATGATCATGATATCGGAACTGGATCGGTATTGGCCGATATTTAGATTTAGGTATTGGGATCGGATCGGAAGTAAAAAAATAAAAAAAAAGTGGATCGGTGCATCCCTACTTTTAATTAAAAAATTAGTAAACAAGTTCTCAGCTTCTTTTTTCAGAGAAAAACAACTTTCTACACGAAAATACGGGTTTCAACCGTGAATTTTGGAGCTTCGACAAGACGGAGATTTTTTTTTCAGAAGTTGGTCTGTTAGCTTAGCTCGTAGCTTAGCTGCTTTTAACGATCCAAAAACTTGATTTTGGATCGTTAAAACAGGTTTTAAAAAGAAAAGAGAAAGGGATGGGTCAGTGAAGAACACCAGAGTTGAGCCTTTTGTCATCCAGTGTCTTCAGTAGAAAGAGAGAGACACGAAGAAACGATAAAGCTGATAAATGAAAATGAGGTCTATGATTTTCATTGATCATGTGATTAATTGATTTATTGTTTATTGTGACAGGCCTATGTTTAAGTTGAGTTATGAATATACTGCATGACTCTGAATATGACTGCAGCTTGTAACTTGGTAAAAATCTTTTGTTTGGAATTTTGATCAAACTATCCTTAAAGAGGTCTTGGATTGTTTCTTAAGTATTAAACCAGACATTCTGCCATGTCAGTCATATAGTGTTAGTTCAAGCAGCCTTTGACGCAATAAGCCTCTTTATGTTTTATCTTTCATTTACTTTATTTGAAGTTATTCTTGGCTGAATTGTCCCTGCTCGTTTTTCACCTTTACCCTTACATGTCTGGCATTTTCACAAACGTTGCCATAATATAAATATTTTACTGAGGTGGTGTTAAATTAACCGTCTTTACTTTATGAGCCTCCACAGTCCTCAAGGCTTCAGTGTCAGTCTGAAGAACTCTCACAGTTTCTGACATCATGATTTTGTTTCATCAGAAGCAAAAGCAGACGGCACTTTGACATTAATAACATGTTCCACAATGTAACTCCATGTTAGCATTTGTTAAATCTGCATTTTAGCTTAAATAAAAGCTGTAATTTTCGTATATTATTCTTGAGGTTGTGGAAAGTGTATAATTAACAGATAACTCATATGTCATAATTTAGACTCACAATTATTGGATGGCAGATGTTTCAGCCTCTAAACTGACCTAAACACTTTTGCTACTCATTTTTATTTTTGTTCCATCTGCCTGCTCTAATATAAACAGTTTTAGTTCCAAGTGATACAAATTATAATAACACATGCTTTAACATTTTTCTTAATCGTTTTATTTCCAGCTTCCTCTGTGTCGATTGAAAACAAACAACAAAATAGTCACTAATGAATTTGTTCTGTGCAGCTTCATATAAGAAAATTAGATTTTCTGCATTTCTGAAAGAAGGCATTCTGTTTAAAGCCAGATATCTATTTCTTATTCATAAATGTCAGATAAAATTTGTTCCTCGTATTTTTGTTTTTTGTATTTTTATATTGTAATCATTTTCATGAGGATTCAGCTAGCCTGTTGTGCTCTGACAAAAAAGAGGAATTGGTTGTAGAAGAGTTTTTATAAAATAACCACAGTCTGATTTAAGCTGCTGAGATTTACCAGGTATACCATGACTTCTGTCACTTGTTTGTTTCAGTCCAGACTTAGTCTTCCTACAGTTATGATTAGGGAAAATACACTTTCTATTCTTTATAATATAGAATAAAATACTGCCGTGACAGAAAAGCTCAGAGGATTCATTATGACGGTGAATATAAAGAAGCAGGCACGAGCAAAACAAACAGATCAAAGATGAAAATCTGACAGAGAACAAAAGTAAACAGGAAGTATTTATTCACAAAGAGAAGTAATGGTAAAGATAAAACCAACAAATAACAAGCAGTCTGTGAAAGTCACACAATAACACAGAAACAATAAATAAGTTATATAAAACCACAATTCATGTAAGCCCAGATCCACAAAAACAAACTATGGAAGTCAGAAAAGATTTAATAATAATAATAATAATAAAAACATTTCCATGTCGTTTTTATTTCACTGAATTTGTTTTTCACCTTCAGAAGGTGTACTTGATTGATCTTGTGTTATTAGCAGATGGAGAGTAGACCCTACTTGTTGCTGACGTGCTGTTTAGTTGTGGTCTCATGGAGGCACGAGGCGTTATAAAGATTTAACCAGAGGACTGATCAGTTCTGCAATCAAAACTCAAACAATAACAGCTGAGGTCATATAAATGTCAGAAAACGAGCAAAAGTTGCAGTTTTTGTAATAATGCCAAATTAATTTACTTTTTTACATTTTGTAGTTTTTAGCCTTTTCAGCTTTGTCCAAAAAGCTATGTCAATCTTTCTATTAATCTTTGCTTTTATTCATCCATACGTCTGTCTTCGTACAGTTTATAGATATTTGTTTGTTTGGTGCTTTTTGACAGGGAGAGAAACGTCCCGCATCAGTCGACATCTCAAAGAAACCCAAAACACCAAAGAAGAAGAAACGCAAGGATCCCAATGAGCCAGTGAAGCCGGTTTCAGCCTACGCCTTGTTCTTCAGGGACACCCAAGCCAACATCAAGGCCCAGAACCCCAACGCCACCTTCGGGGAGGTGTCAAAGATTGTGGCCTCCATGTGGGACGGCCTGGGAGAAGAACAGAAGCAGGTACAGTCCGTTCTGTGCACGGTTCTGAAGGTTCTCTCCTGAGTTCTGCGGAACATTTAGAAAACCTCTCGGTTCATTATCATCTGATTCCACCTGCTGATAGTTTTACTCAACTCCTGGGATTTGTTATAGGGAATTCCAATTGTTGTGGAAAATAAAATGTTTTACAGCCACTGAGGAAATTATAAAATCCTGCCTCTTGTTCAGATGCTTCGTTTTTGTGGGGGAAATAAAACACAACACAAAATAAATCACAAACACATAACCTAATTAAACACAATTCATCTCTCTTAAATCATACCTAAAAAAACCCATTAAAGTTATAATTAGTGACTTGGTGTTAAATCACATAGGATTTTTTTAATCATGAGGAGAATAATTATAGATTTGTGAACCAGAAAAGGTCACAGTTACTAAATGTGTTACACCTCATTTAGCTTTTCTGACAGTTTAAAATAATTAAAGCTCAACTTCACTAATAAAACCTTTTATTATTCATCAGTCAGGATTCAACTGTCCTGTGAAGTGGTTTTATAGTGTTTGAATTACTGAATTTTGCTGTTATTAGGTCTGTCACGATAACAAATTTTGCTGGGCGATTAATTGTCTCAGAAATTATTGCGATAAACAATAATATTGTTTTAAATTTGACAATAATTAATAATTATTGTCAAATTTAAGAAGAAATGTTGGTCAATTTGTTTTGAGTGTAGTACCTTTTTTTACCCACCGGATGGCAGTATAAGACTGTTTGAACTGAAGGATGGATAGTGAGGGAGCGAGCAGCGTATCTCTTTAAGAAAAATGGGAGGGAGGCCCCTTGACGTGACATGGGCTGTCTCTCTTTCCTTTTGTTCAGTTCTCAAAATGGCGGACGCTTAGTATGGTTTGGGCTCTTTAGCATAACATTTTTCACACAAAGCTTTTAATAAAAAAAATCAGTAAACAAGTTCTCAGCTTCTTTTTGCAGAGGAAAAACAACTTTTTAGATGAAGGCACGGGTTTAAACCGTGAATTTTGGAGTTTTGACAAGACGGAGGTTTTTTCCTCGAGGTCAACCTGTTAGCGTAGCTCGTAGCTTAGCTTCTCAGATTAGCTGCTTTTATCGATCCAAAAACTTGATTTTGTACAGTTAAAACAGATTTTAAAGAGAAAGGGAGGGGTCAGTGAAGAGCACCGGAGTTGATCCTTTCGTCATCGAGTGTCTTCAGTAGAAAGAGAGAAACAAAGAAACGATAAAGCTGATAAATGAAAATGAGGTCGATAATTTTTATTTATCATGTGATTAATTGATTTATTGTTTATTGCGACAGACCTAGCTATTATTGATAAATATCCCAGATCAGAACCAAATGCTTAATATTTTAGCCCTATATTTCTGCTAATAGGATTGTATCATACATAATAGAAACATATAAGACAAATCAGATTTATTTACCTTTTGTGAATTATTAGTCATTAAGAGTGATTTAATTTTTAAAAGTAACTAAAACCAAATTTCTACAGAATAAAGAGTTTCGCATAAAAAGTAGGTTGAATAGTTAATAAATAATACAATTAGATAAGGAAATAATAGACAAATAGCTAAAATCTCCCATTAGTTTGATATATTTTAATGTTAATTCTAGTTCTTTTTTCTATTTTGGATTTGTTCAAATGTAATTTTTTCCTATTTCTATCTTTTTTTCTTTGCTTCCCATGTTCTCAATGTTTTACTTCGATTGAGTGAGGTTTGATTATCAGAATTTATTTATTTATTGACATATTTATTGTACTCTATTAGTCCTCAATGGGGAAATTAATTCTCTGCATTTTTCCCATTGCACATGTGAGCACACATGTGAAGCAGTGCATAATGGTAAAAACATTTATTACAGACATTTATAAGAAGAATAGATCTCTCTAACTTAACTTAAAAATGTGTGAGCCTTATGATACAAGAATATTGTTTTATATTTATTTATTATTGCCATGATCTTTCATGATTTGTTTGTTCAAGCACTGGAGGTTAGTTCATGTCTTGAGTAAATGTTTTGTTGTTTCAGGTTTACAAGAAGAAGACTGAAACGGCTAAGAAGGAGTATCTGAAACAGCTGGCTGCCTACAGAGCCAGTCTGGTCTCACAGGTACGTGCACGCACGCACACCTTTTGGATATTCAGATATTGGTGTTTAACAGGAGCGTTCATCTACAAACTGATGAACATTCTACAACTTTTTGTTTTTCCAGAGCTACAACGACCCATCTGAGATGAAACCCCCCCACTCTTCCACTACGTCTTCCCCCTCTCCTACCTCCATGTTCTCTCCTAAACCTTCTGTTTACCCTGGTCACCCAGGCCAGCACTCCTCCTCCAGCTCACTCACCCATCCTCTTCCTCCTCCTCAACACCCAGGCATGTACATGCCCTACCCTCACCCGTCACACCCTTCCCACGTCTCAAGCCCTGGTCTTGGCCCACATGTGCCCCCTCCTCACGCCCAAATCCATCCCCAGCTCCAAGCTCTGTCCTCCAGAGGGACTGTGCCACGGGCCAGTGTCCCCCACCAGGGAGCCCTGTCCCTGGGTAACATAGCAGCAGCGTCCACCCCTCCTCTTCAGGTGAGCCCTCCACTCCACAGCCAGGCACACCTGGGAGGGCTGCACAGTCCACATCACCACCAGCACCAGCAGCTCAGCGGACACTCACTGGGAATGACCCGCGCGCCTGCCATCACACAGGTCAGACTCAGTGAACATTTCATTTTATAACTTCATTTAGTTTAGGTTTTTTTTGTTTAATTTATTCACAGGGTTAAAGTCTGACAGACGGCTGATATGATTAAATAAACTAGTCACCAGTCACAACTATAAAAACATCAGAGTCCAGAAAAGTGTTTTCAGAGAGTCTTTCAAACACAACCTTTGCTCTACTGAGAGGTTTTTCTGACTAAAAGTAAGATGAACTGAAAAATGAAACAACAAACAACTATATTCATTTGTTGCCGTCTGAGACTGTATATTGGGAGTGGTGTAATGCTTCCTGGGTTATCGGCTGTAAACATATTTAATATTGTTTTATTGTAATCGGTTGTTTAATGTTTGGGCGGCACGGTAGAGCAGCTGCCTCTCAGCAAGAAAGTCGTCAGATCAAATCCTGGCTGGAGATCTTTCTGGGTGGAGTTTGCATGTTCTCTCCGTGCATGCGTGAGTTTTCTCCATGTACTCCAGTTTCCTTCCACAAATAAAAAACATGCATGTTAGACTGATTGGTGACTCTAATTGATCCTAGGTGTGAGTGAGAGAGTGAATGGTTGTTTGTCTCTGTGTGTTCCTGTGATGGACTGGAGACCTGTCCAGGGTGTCCCCCACCTCTCGCACAGTGACCTCCATGACCTTAAAAGGAAGGAGTGGGTTAAGTGGGTGTTAAATGTACTTTTTAACTAATATATGTTTACACTTTTCATAAATATGTAGGTATGATTTCTTTTAGAAAGCCTTTACTAATATGACATTTATCATGCACTTATACTTCATTATTTACATTTTAATCCCTATGGGATGTAAACATGTTTAAAAACCCACAGTATTTATCATGATCTTAATACTTAGTGAGTAGTGTGAGCTGTAAATGGGCCGAACATTAGATGAGATGCAGTAATTAAACATTTAATTTCATCTGACTTTCTTGAGTAAAGCAGGGACTGTCAGTGCCTCCAATAAAAACAACATTTTTCTGAGTCACTCGCTTTTCTTTCCATCAGTCGTTTGTTTCCATCTGTGTCAGTTAATGGGGTTATTGTGAAACAAGATTTCCTTTAGAGAGCACCTCTGCATACACAAACAAGTTCAGACTAAATGTGGACCCATCTTGTAATTCTCATGTTGATTTGTCCGATGGACTGACGCAGATTTTAAAGTCTTATGGGGTTATGTTTCAGATGGAATATCTTTGTGTTATTTATTGTCTAAAAGACACCATATTTTTATGTGCTGACCTTCTAGAAGCTGAACTTTTTTTTTTTATTAAAATAAATACAGATGATTCAAATGAGAAATAAACAATTATTTTTTCATTGCTGTGTTTGATTTATATTTAGAAATAAATATATAAAAATAATCTAACTGGTTTAAATCTAAAAAAGCTAATGCACAGAAATGATTATGTATTTGTGTTTCAAAGAAGGCTTGATGCATGTTAAAAAGATGAAAGCAACTCATGCCAAATGTGTTTGACTGGAAAATATAAGTACTAGTACTAGTCCTAGTAAAATGTTACTTACCAGCTGTTTCCTGTCTGACCAAAAGCAGTAAACCTTTGTGGCATCATTCTTGATAAAACATCACGCAGAGGAAAAGCTAAAATACAGCAGACCAGTTCTCTCCATTTCCTCTTGTATTTTTGTTTACTATAATTGTTGTTTTCTTGTTGCTCCATTTGCTTCTTGTACTCTACACACAACCAAAATACTCACTACTGCCACCCAGTGGTGACGCCACACAGCCTAATTTTACATTTTTTAAAACTACAGTAGTTATTTCTTTCATTCAATTAACCTTCCAAGTGAATGCAAACTGGATTCGATTTTTCTTGACCTTTTATCCTTTTTTTAAATTAAATACATTCCTTGACGTAATGCATATTGCCCGCCTCCTTTACGCCAGAGATTTAGATGAAGATCTTGTGATGAGAACGACTGGAGTTCTTCACTGTAAGACTTTGGAGATCAGCAGGATCAGTATAATGCAAGTTAATGTGTTTAACCACAAAAAATATAAATGTATTGTGAGAATATTTCAGTTTTAAACCTGTGATTCACTTTTTTAATCCTTCGATCCACCAGTAGTACTGATGTTTTCCTATTTATAGTTTATGTACATTTTTTGGACTGTAAATACATCAACATACTTTAAGCTATTTCAAATAAAAATGACCTGCTTGTTCAGGACATTTCAGTATGACTTTAGATTTTTGTAACTTTTATACATTTTTAAATATATAACTTTTTTTAACTTTATTGAAAAATTTGGAAAACTGATCAAATCCTTGAAAAACTTTGTGTTCTTTGAAATCTACTTCTACTTAATTTTTAGCTACTGTTTGATTACTTTGATTATTTTAGCTAATGCTCTGCTAATTTTAGCTTTTAGCATCTGTTATGCTGGTTTTAGCTTTTAGATTTGTATTGGCTAGTTTTAGTTTTGACTAGACAGTTCAGTTTCATCTTTTTCATCAAGTTTCAGCAGACTTTCAGGATTCACACTACATTTTTACTGATGTTCTCTAGTTTTGTCTTTTGTCCATTTTGCATATTTTTACCAATAATAAGTGAAGAGGGGGAGAGAGGGAGTGAGGACAGAGTGACAGAGCTTCAAACTTTTTTTACTGGGTGAGGAGTGAGAGCTGGGGGGGGTGAGAGACAAAGAAGGCAGATGGGGTCTTTGTGAAGGAGTGAAGGAGAAGAATTTGCTCGACAATAGATGAATAGGTGAGGTAGAGGAGGAGAGGGGGAGGAGAGTGGGGGAGAACTCAACCACCTGCTGTCCTCCCCTTTCTCCTCTTTCACTCACAACACTCAGATTAACTTCCCTTTCAGCCCCTTTCTCCTTTTCTCCCTCACACACACTCACCACTACACTTTATGGTTGCACACACTCATTTTTCTATCCTCCTTTCCCCTTCCCTCAAGTATCTTATGGTTTGAGAAATGCTTACCTCCTCCTTCGTCTCCTGCCCAACCTCTTGTCTTTTTACTCACTTCCTCCTCCTTCACATATGATGAAACCAGCAAGATACTCAAACCTTAGTAATTACCCATAATGAACCTGTGACTAATTTGTCATCTTTTCACTTGGGATACATACGGAACATTCATATCTTTGTTCATCTGACAGCATCTTTGCAACATATGAAAGCACTAATAACTGATGTACAAAAGCATCAGCTGTCTGAGGAGTTATTTAGATTCAAGGACATAAATGGTCCCAATTAAAGCCTTCTCAATCACACATTTGTGTAAAGGGTTTGACTTTTTGCCCCATAAGACAACTTTAAATGTTAGTCTTAAAATGAATGAATCAGTGACCCTTCCATAATAAGTATAAACACAAACATTTTAATTTTGTGTACCGGTACGTCAAGATTTTTTACACTAAAAGAATAGTTTCTCTGTGTATATATTTAAATATCCTGACTAGGCCTGTCACAATAAACAATAAATCAATTGATGATAAATGAACAACTAAATCAACATCACAATATCATGAATCAACATGATAAATGAAAAAATATCTACGTCATTTTCATTTACCGGCTTTATCATTTCTTCGGGTCTCTCTCTTTCTACTGAAGACACTGGATGACAAAAATCTCAACTCCGGTGCTCTTCACTGACCCCTCCCTTTCTCTTTTCGCTTTAAAATCTGTTTTAACCGTCCAAAATCATGTTTTTGGATCTTTAAAAGCAGCTAATCTGAGAAGCTAAGCTACGAGCTAAGCTAACAGGCTGACCTCGGGGAAAAAACCTCCATCTTGTCGAAACTCCAAAATTCACGGTTGAAACCTGTGCCTTCATGTACAAAGTTGTTTTTCTCTGCAAAAAGAAGCTGAGAACTTGTTTACTGACTTTTTTTATTAAAAGCTTGATGTGACAAATGCTATGCTAAACAGCGAGCGTCTGCCATTTTGAGAACCGAAGAGAGACGGCTCATGTCATGTCAAGGGGCCTCCCTCCCATTTTTCTTAAAGAGAGACACGCTGCTCACTCCCTCACTATCCACCCTTCGGTTCAAACAGTCTTATACTGTCATCCGGTGGTCAAAAGAGGTATTGCACACAAAACAAATTGTCCAACATTTCTTTTTAAATTTGACAATAATTACTAATTATTGTCAAATTTCAAACAATATTATTGTTCATCACAAAATTTGTTATTGTGACAGGCCTAATACTGACACACTGTACTACCACAATAACCAGAATCAGAATCAGTTTATTATTGCCATGTCAGTGAACGAGGTTCACAAACTGGGAATTTGCTTCGACATAAGGTGCGAATAGTAATAAAGTAAAATAAAGTAAAAATTAAGTAAAAATGAGAACATTACATAAGACATAAGACCTGTGTACACCCACAAATAAAGTAAAATTAAAAACATAACATAACCATGTGTACACCCATACAATAGAAAACAATAAAAAAGCTTAGAAAACAGTACAGATGGAGTACTCAATTATAATACAGATGTAATGTGACCAAAGCAGACATTATGAGGTAGCATTATGAGTGTTCAGGAGTCCAACAGCAGAGGGGAAGAAACTGTTCTTATGGCGGGAGGTTCTGGTCCGAATGGACCGAAGCCTCCTGCCTGAGGGGAGTGGTTCAAACAGTCCGTGTGCAGGGTGAGCAGGGTCAGCTGTGATCCGACCTGCTCGCCTCACAGTCCTGGAGACGTACAGGTCGTGGAGGGATGGAAGGCTGCAGCCGATCACCTTCTCAGCTGAGCGCACAACGCGCTGCAGTCTGAGTCTGTCTAAGTATAAGTCTAAGTATATAAACTTAAGTGTTAAACTGGAGTTGTTTTCTTTAGTATTACAGTATATGGGGCAGCATTAGTTGTCTGTTTTTTAAATATATTAAAACTTTAAAAGTTAAAAAAAAAGTTTTAAAGAAGAATATTTGTATATGGGGCGGCATGGTGGCTCAGTTGTTAGAACTGCTGCCTCTCAGCGAGAAGGTTGCCAGATGAAATCTGGCTGGGACCTTTCTGGGTGGAGTTTGCATGTTCTCTCCGTGCATGCGTGGGTTTTCTCCGGGTGCTCCAGTTTCCTCCCACAGACCAAAAACATGCATGTTAGGCTGATTGGTAACTCTAAATTGTCCCTAAGTGTGAGTGAGAGAGTGAATGGTTGTTTGTCTCGTTTGTCTCTATGTCCCTGTGACGGACTGGAGACATGTCATGGGTGTCCTCCTCTCGCACAGTGATGGCTGGACATGGGCACCAGTGACCCCTGTGACCCAAAAAGGAAGACGTGGGTAAAAGATAATGGATAGATGGATGGAATATTTGTATATGGAAGATAAGCAGATGTCTGTGGTTCAATTTTATCACAAAAAGTAATATTTATCATGATAATATAAAGCATTTAAAAATATTATTGCTCTCAAAAAGCTCCTAAGTGGTTCAGTTCATATGTAAAAGTATAGAGAACGATGTGCCAAATCTGCTGAGATGAAATCAGTCTAATTTTGAAAATAGGTGATCCACAAGGTTCTGTTTTAGGGTAATTCGTCTTCTGCTCGTGCATGATTTAAAAGATTAACCTTAGAGTGGTAAAGATGTTGAGTACTAAATGTTTGCAGATTATGTTGCCTTTTACACATCTACCTGCAAAGACTTCACATTGAGTGACTCTGGAGTGTCAGTGGGTTCATTGTGAATCATCTTTTTGTCTCTGCAACATCAAAATAATCTAAATGTGTTTTACAATCCGTCTGTAATGACTTTACTTTTGTTATTCATTAGAGAGAAATAAAAATAGGAGATAAAATACTTTGTGAGGCAGCTAACCAGCTACAGCTCAAATCTTTTTCTTATTGTTTAGATATTTGAGGACAAACAATTCAGTCTGCTTTAAAAACGTGATGCTGTCAGACAAACAACATCAAGTCTTAGACCAAAACCACCACTGAAGTGGCATCATTGTAAAATACAGGAAAAGGAAAAGTTCAAGCTCGAGTACTTACCGGTAAATACTTGTTTTTTTCTGCACATAAATATACCTACGATTTGAGTCTTTTGTATTACTGTAGGCGTCTTCTCGAAACGCTGGAACCAAGTCACCTTCTGGGCCAACTTGGTGGGTTTTATGAATGGATCAAAGCAGCATGGGGGGTGTTGAATTCAGCCCACTGCTGTGGCACCTTTGTGCCACCAAGCGAGGTAGTAATAGAGCCGTAACAGTCAACATGAAAATGTAAGCCAGCGTTGGGGATGAAGTGTGATGTAGTGATGACATACTGTCTGTGTGACTACCTGGCTGCAGGATGCAAACGCCAACAATAAACAAATACATTACTGAGGAGAATGGTGACAGCGACACTTTTAGTTGAAGTATCTGGTTAAATACAAAAAGAATCACCAAGTAAAAAAGTCACATTTTGAAAACAGTATGAGAAAGCTGTCTGTCACGTGTTTAATCTGTAATGCTTCACGTCAACCCAACTGAGTTCCTCAACACACGTCTTTTCAAGTCAATTCAATTTCAGTTTATTTATATAGTGCCAAGTTGCAACAGAAGTCATCTCAGGGCACTTTTGGTTCTGATTTTATTTAAAACACTCAAGTCTTTTCTGCACGTGGTCAGCTCGATTAGTGTTTTGTTTACGGTCTGAGGAAATTTAACTGCTCTTTCTGTCTATTTTGCACTCGGTGAAAGTGACACATGTTGGCGGCTACACGTTGTCAACTTTAAAATTGAGTCAAAATTCATGTCAAAAGTCATGTTAGCAGAATACACATCTGAACATCTAATCAAAACTTCCTTTATCTCCCCCAGAAACAATAAATGTGTTTTTCATTTTTTCCATCCCAGGGCTACCCTTCATCTCTCCAGTCTGACTATCAGCCAATGGGAGGAGGTATGCTGAATAGTGGATCAGTGATGTCATCATCAGTGGACTACCACCAGCTTGGGCGTCACACACCAAACCACCACCCCTCTTTGGACTGGAGCAGCGATTACCATGGGTAATTACCAACGGGTTGGTAATAACTTTGTATTTCACAGGGGTTGAACTTATTCTCGTGTGTGATGAGTTAGAGCAAAAATCCCCAACAAATCAAGTAAACAAAATGAACAAACATGTAGTAGCAGTTCAAATTCAAATAACACTGAACACAGCACTGTTGCACTTTCATCACTAAAGTTCAGGAGCTTCACTGTCCAGTTTTTATCAGAAGTACAGATGAACAGAATTAGGACTAAAAATGTAGACAGTACAGAAACCCTAGAGAGCCACAAAATGTTGGCTGGACTGTAGCGTCTCAAAGTCTGGATACAAAAAATATATTTTTTTAACCTCCTGAAACCCCAAACACCTCTACTAATATCAAAACCATTTTGCACATCATCGACTCCCA